GGGCCGCCTGGACCAAAAAATGCCAGGGCCGATTTTTTTGTCCTAGTCCAGCCCTGCTTGTGGTTGGGTGGGTGGGTTCCTCTGAAGCGTGCAGATGCCGTCTTAATGAGCGCTTACAGGCGTGTTCTGTGTGTGATGAAGATGAGGAAGATCTGAAGCACGTTCGTGTGTGTTGGGAGTCTGTGAGAGCTGCACGCGGCACAGTCACAGATCAGATCTCAAGCTGTATTTGCTCAGTTCTGCAATGCGGAAAACGTGGACGGAATTGTGTAATCCAGTCATAAAAAAAACAGAATTTACTGTATAACACGGACTGTCACAGAGTTTGCTAAATTTTGGATGGGTAAGTCAAAAGTAGGTCAGTACAGTTAAATCAAAACTTGATATGGACTAGTTTCTGTAAATATTAAGCTGCAAATATACAATTTAAATATGAATCCTGTGTGTTCTACGTGTCTCTGTATGAATTAATGAATGTTTCTGTTTGAATGTTTCGTTGCACGCATGCGGTGTGGTGTTTTCAGCGTCTGCCGCCTCAGTATATGAGTACATGAACATATAAACATAATGCTCTGAGAGATTTATTTTGAGTAAAACTATTGTCATATCATATAAGAGCAAAAACCTAAAGGTCTTCACAGCAACCCGTGAATAAAATTCGATTTAACTTGAAGAAATTGTGACAGAAATATATTACTTAATGTAATGATAGTACACATGGGTGTGTGTGTGTGAGTGTGTGTGTGTGTGTGTGTGTGTGTGTGTGTGCGTGTGCGTGCGTGCGTGCGTGTGCAACAATTACGATATTATCGCAGACGATATATATAGCACACCCCTACTGGATTCCGCGATTCCATCCGTGCGCACGTGTCTATGTGTGTGTGTGTGTGTGTGTTAGGGCTGCAACTAATGATTATTTTGATAATCGATTAGTTGGCTGATTATTTGTTTGATTAATCGGATAAAAAGCCTTTCTTTTTTTATTGACTAAATACACTATTCCACATGCTGCCCAATCCTTCAGACAGACGTGCCAACTGAATGTTATAAACATACTGTATGGTGAATTATTCACTGAATATATCTATAGCTATGCTATACATTATGTGCAAAAAGAGTTATAAAGCACAGTTTAAATGGAGAGTTTAAATAGACAAATGGAGAAAGGACAGTTTAAATCCTTACACTAAAAATGGAGATAAAAATGAAGATAATAAAGAAAAACTCAAACTCAGTGTTAACAGATGAGAGGAATGTTCTGCATGAACACACACATTCACTCTGAATACATTAACCTGTTACTGTCATTTCTTTATTCTGTAAATATAAAGAATGTCTTAAATGTGACCCTGGACCACAAAACCAGTCATAAGGGTCAACTTTTTACGCATCTATTAAAGCGCCTGACAGGACGAGCCATGTTAAACATTATGCTAATGCATTAGCTTGACATTTAAAAATAAAGCATTCGCATGTTTTGGGCAGCTTGGATCACGCACCTTTCCTGAAGCAGCTCACTCTGTTTCCTCCACTATTAGATTCATTTAGATCCATTTCGTCCATAGAAAATAATTATTCAGTGTGTAATTTGACACGGTGGCCAGACGCGAGTAATCGATAATGACATTCGTTGTCGATGATTTTCATTATTGATTTTATTGATTAGTTGTTGCAGGGTGTGTATCAGTGTCCAAATGAAACAGAAGCTCATTGTCGTTGCTTTAGTAGATGTTTCTCTCTGCTGCAGTGCATCATGGGTAATCTCCCGTACCGTCTCACTGCACACACAGTTAAGCGGGTCCAGATCTGATACTTCAGAGGTGTAACGGTTCGAGACAAACATGAGGGAAACTCACGCTGGTTATTAATAGATTCAGAGCTGTAAGTGCTGCTGAAAGGCCTTCTGGGATATCTGAGGAGTTTCCATTAGACAAAAACATCATCCGCTGCTCCAGAAATATCCCAGCCGTCCACATGCACTATAACACACACACACACACACACACACACACACACACACACACACACACACA